ACAAAATTGTCTAACTAGTAAGTTTATATAATGCTATGTTTGTGTAACTAAATTTATATTAACCATTCCCTGCTTATTAAATACTATATTTGCCTTTTAATACTTTACTGAAGATATTTCTAAAATAAATATTAATTTTATATTAGAAATTGAAGCCGACTTTATATCTAAATGACATTTAAGGGAACATTTGTTTGCATTTATAGGAAACTATAAGAAGCCTTCAATTGAATTGAATTTTTTATTATTTAAACTCAACTGAACTTTTGATACATCAGTTAAGAAATGTATTTTCAATGCTTTGTTAAAATTTAAATCTGGGATTACAACGTTTGGGTCAAATTCTGTTTGTATATAAAATGAAATCTGTGGTAAGTTTATATAATGCTATGTTTGTGTAACTAAATTTATATTAACCATTCCCTGCTTATTAAATACTATATTTGCCTTTTAATACTTTACTGAAGATATTTCTAAAATAAATATTAATTTTATATTAGAAATTGAAGCCGACTTTATATCTAAATGACATTTAAGGGAACATTTGTTTGCATTTATAGGAAACTATAAGAAGCCTTCAATTGAAAACTCAACTGAACTTTTGATACATCAGTTAAGAAATGTATTTTCAATGCTTTGTTAAAATTGAAATCTGGGATTACAACGTTTGGGTCAAATTCTGTTTGTATATAAAATGAAATCTGTGAATTTATATTGAACAAAGTATTTGATTGTGAAATATAATAGAAATAGTCAGTAAAGCACTGTTGAGTTTAAAATGTTATGTATTTATAGTCAAATAATTATTATTTAATACAATCATTTTCTTAAAAAGATTGGGATTCCCTTAAAACTATAATAAAGTGATATCTACTCGTAAACTCTTATGAGAAGTATTAATCTTAATGAGAAGTATCAATCACTGAATGAATGAATTATCAATTTGACGCCTAAATAATTTTGTCAAACCTGAATATTAGCTAGCAAAAATAATATGCAACTATGGATTCGACCATTTTTATTGTTTAATGTTTCAGGGGTCGCTTAAATAATTAGGATTCAATGCTCCTAATGCTTGCTGTGGGTTATATAACTTGTGACAATTTTTGTTTTCTCTATAAATGTTGGCCACATTTTTATTTAAAATTATTTAATAAAATGGGTATTAAGTGCAGTATTTAAAAGCAATACTTGTTAAGCTGAAAATTAATTTTTATTTCTGACATTTCATATAATGAAATATTTATGAAATATAAAAATATTTCATTTAATTTCCTTTTCTTACATAATGCTCAACTTTTGCAATAAGGATTAAAATATAGGTTTTCGATATTATGATGAATGTGACAAACACTCAAACATCTCTATAAAAAGATATAAAGAATCCTTTATAGAAAGATAATGGAGTAAATGAAATACAAAAAAATCAATCACGATTCTTATATTTGGAAATTAGTTTGAAATTATTTTGTAAACCAAAGTTTTCAATGAAAACTTGTTGTTAACAATTATCTTATATAAAATTTTGATTATTTCTTATTTATTTTTTATAAGAAATATGGTTATAATTTATAACTTATAAAGGTTTAGCAGTAAATGTGTTAATATTACAATACTATACTAAAATAAGGAATTTACAAAAAATAGTGTATCTTAAAATATTTATACAACTCGAGAGTTGTTTTGAATTTTTATCCAAATATTGAATTAGAATATCCAACGAAAATCAACAAACTTTATTAAATATCAAACTTTATATAAATATAAACATAATATTATTTACAATCTTCTATGCTATAAATTCTCACTGAATTTTATTGAATTTTCTATTTATTTAATAGTATTTCGAAACTTTTGTTGCTTTACTTCAAGTTTGTTAAAACGACAGGACATTTTTGGCAAATATCAAGATTTAAGAATAGTGTACATTACTTTGGTGATATTCCTAACCATATATTTAAACATGTTTAAGTGGATATATATTTAAACATGAATTGTATTTTTGTCTAACAAAACCAATTCGTAAAATGACCACAGAATTAGAGATATATAGTAATCTTATACACTAGTACTGTAATTTAAATAAATTCATAATATAAAAACATATTTGCAATTGAAGATAATTTACTATAGTAACATTTACATTACTACTGTATAGTCAGAATTTTATTTAGGCATTCTGTATATCAATATCTATTTTTAATACACACTAAACAGTTAAACATTTTGATGGATAGACAATTTCATGGGATCTGATAAATATATATTATAGGTATATAAAACTTGTATATAAATGGTTTCTATAATTGTATTCTTGAATTCCATGAGAATTCAAGAGAAATTCAGTAATTTATTATTTATATTACAATATTGTCTAATCTATCATGAAATTTGTTAATTGTGTAAGCTAACATAGCATATTAAAAACTATCCTAATTTGTTATATTTATAGTAAATAATATAGCCTACCATTTATTAATATGATACAATTTCATAGATATCACCTACATGTTAGTATTTGACAAGTAATACAATAATATCTCAAATATATTCCAGTTAAAAATGAAAATATATAGATAGTTTTATAATGATATTCAGAAGTAATATACTATGGCATATTCACTAAATGTACTTTTTGTTTAAGAATGTCATATAATATAACGGTAATATATTATTTGATCATTTAATATTTAATTAAATATTAGACTACACATTTAAAAACTTCTACAAATGTTTTAATCAATTCTTAAAATGATTAACTTTCTTACAATAAAAAACACGAAAAAATGATTATTAATATAATTGTAAGAAGTAACAGGATATTAATAATTATTCGATGCATTAATTCAATTGTTGCTAATTATCACAAAATTAGTGTGATTTTGTCATCTATAAGTTTAATTATTAGAGTTTTCGATGTCATTAATTAATGTCAATATTTATTATACTTTCCTAAAGACCAAAGAGCGTAACGATTTGTGTCCTCTTTTTTTATGAATATAAATAATAGTCATTTATTTTGAGCCTAATTGTCAATTATAAGTCATTGAGTCCTATCGAATTGATTCATCGGATGAGCTATTATTTAATTATTCAAATAATGACAATATTTTAAACTTAATAAAAATTTTAAACACTAATTAAAAGTTTACGCTTTGATTACTATTAAGTTTAAAAACATGTGTTTTTAGGTAAATATATTGTTTGAATGTAATTGGTATTGAATGTTTGCATTGAAATGCTTTGTTAATTTAGTTTAGATCTGATAAGACACTGATACGAGACTGACTTATAGTGTGTTTTAGTTAACTGGTAGTCACATACATGTGTTGTACATACAGTATTGTACTCTAATTTAATTAAAAGAGATGTGTTGTGAAACTTAGAGAATTGCTGTCCTAAGAGTTAATTCAAAGTTTGTATTATGTTTTATTTTATGATGAAAACACGTCAATAGTCTTCTTAATTATATTTGTTCTTCAGTTTTGAACACAAAGTCAACACAAGTGTAGAACAGAACCGAAGAGACTATCGGATCGATTGCCGAGACGTTGAAGAGATCAGAGACTTCTCATAAGTCTGTGACTGAGATCTCCAGATATGCCTCATTCACCCTCTGAGAGCAATAGTCCCAAAGATAATCACGATTTAATTAATACGTCCTTTTATGATGGAAATGGTGTGGGAATGTCAGCCACAGTCACACCAATACTCGATGTACACAAAGGGAGACCAGTGAGACTTCAGGTCAAAGTAATGGTTCCCGTTCACGACCACCCAAATGTAAGTCACTAACGCTATACACAATCATATTATTTCAATAAATCACTCCTTACTTCATATAATACTCCAGTTGTATAACAATCTCTAATCGCATTAATTTCTAACAAAAGTTATATAATTTTTCTTCTCTTAATTAAAGTTTAATTTTGTGGGAAAACTATTGGGACCCAAAGGGAACTCCCTGAAGTGGCTCCAGGATCAAACACAAACTAAAATGGCAATCCTTGGCCGCGGCTCTATGAGAGATAAGCAAAAAGTATGGCATAGTTTTGGTCTGTTTTGCGTTTATCACAACATTTGTTTGACCCCTAAGGAGGAAGGACTTCGTCAGACTATGGATGCAAAGTATATGCATCTGAATGAAGAGCTTCACGTTGAGATAACAGCCTTCGCACCGGCACCCGAGGCCTACCTACGGATGGGCAATGCTTTGCAAGAAGTCAAGCGTTTTCTCGTTCCCGTGAGTATATAAGTATACATCACTTTATACACTATATTCAGTCCATTCTATACACAATTCGTATGAATTGTAAATACAATCAACTATTGAAAGCTATTGAGAGCGTTATATCGCATTACATAATAAACAGCACTTAATAGTGAATATAATTGAACAAACTATACTCTAAGTGGTATATTCTGTTGGTTATATCAAATAATGACATTTAATACAATGAAAAACTTCAACACTAATCGACACAAAGATTTCGAAATATTTAGTCGAAAAATAATTTCTGATTTACGAAAAGGATTATTACGACGATATCCGACAGCAACAGCTCCGAGAGCTCGGGATTTTGAATGTCGACAAAAAACCAAACACTAAATTAAGGTAATCTGCAAACCATACTGTTTTCGTGTGGTTTCTATTATTTTAAACAAACAGATGTCCAGTAATACTAATACTAATGATCTAATGATACAATCGATTGGCATTAAGCAGAATAAATGAAGGCATCGGAGGAACGCGGCCTACAATGAGAGACAACGAGCACAGCATTCATCAAATAGCAGCTAATGATACGAGTCTTGCCGTTACAACACCTCCACATCTGGTCAGTCCCAACACACCTAATGGTTACTCCAATAACGACTGTTTGCCTTATAATATGAACGGAGAGAACGACTCAGAACTCAGTCATTGTAGGTCTTTATAGGAGTCCTCATTGCTTAGACTAAACTCTGTCTAAATATTATATTAATATTTATTCTCCTGTACTGTAGGCTGGGATCAGAAATCGACTTTTAAGTTATCTTCTCGTCATAACAATAAAGGGCTCGTATATCGAGATAAGCCCTACACTAGAATAGCCGATACTATCAATAGCTCTCTTTATCATTGAATCAGTTTTCACTTGATTTAAAAAATAATTTTCGCTAAATGCAGATTTTAAAACTTTTGTCACTTACTAACAAAATGTAATATAAAATTGTATTATTATGATTATAATTATTATTAAACCCTAAAAATTGTACTACTAGTTTGTCGGACTAATATTTATCAATATTGTAATCTTATTTGAAATAAATTATAAATATTTCATTCTGTAAATAAGTTTGAATAACGTATTGTGCTAAAGTATTTCTTATAAATTGGTTATTTCTTGAATATAAATTCGCATCAATAATAAAATTAAAGTGATTTAACGGATCAAATGGAAAAATCTCATCCATTAAAGCAAATTCTGGTTGCAATCCATAGAAATATTCTGCATTCTGTATACAGTAATAGATTGGAGTCTGTTTGCACTGAAACCAAAGTCAATACTTTATCACTCGACTCGAGTTACTATTTTATCAAACTATTCATAAAATCAATATAACATAAGATTTATTTCTACAAATTCTTCGCTAAAACACATGTTAGGAGTGTTAGAGTTCTACACAATTCTTAAGACTCTAATATTTAGACAAATGCTTTCTCTTTATGTCTTTAAGATATCTAAAGTATAAAATATGTTTGAAAATGTTTTTTGCATTTCATGTGAAAAAATATGAAAACATTTTATTGTATTTAATGACTTCGGAAAGAGTGTTCTTCTCTTAAAACACTGTTTCAATTTCATTCCTCACGTATTTAAAGTCCATTTTTATTATATATAAACTATTTTCTAATAAACAATACAAAAAAAGATTTCTACGAAAATCAAACAAATTTTGCGATAAAATGACAACTGAAAGGAATCTAACGATTAAATTGCAAACAACAATGGATTATATAAATCCTTGTTTTGATGAAGAGATTGCTTTTTGTAAGATTTGGTTCACTTTGAGAATGAGATGGCAATCAATTTTGTTTTTGAATGTACTGTACATCAAATGGCAGTCTTATAAACAATATTTTTAGTTTATTATTCTTTCAAAAATTATAACCAATAATTTGAGATAAGAATTTATTTTTCTTAAAAATTTTCAATGGACCATAATTTTAGACATTTTATTATATTGTATAGAAGTGATTTATATATATATATATATATATATTGTATATAAATGTTATATCATATTAATAAACTTATTTTAGTTTTAAAATCTGATTTATGTATCTGATTATGCATTGTGGTCAAAAAGACAATAATCTAATGATACTTAACATAAGTACTGTAAACTAATTTGTGAATTATTAAATATTAGACTTTATTCAGAATATTATTTGCTTTAAAATTTAAGATTTAAAACAGTTGATGAAAATATATATTAAATTAATATAAATTTAAATTTTATGTAAAAGATTATAAAGAATAAATAAGATAATGGTATAGAATATCATACAATATGGTATTTTAGTATTGTTTCATTCATATGATATTAGTGATATCATATGGGATTGTAGAAAATTGTTCATTACAGCTATTGTATCGAAATCAACCGAAGTCTTAAAGTGGTAAATTGAATATATTTTTAATGGTGGAAAAAACTACAATACATTTATTATAAAAAATAAACTTCAAAATTATAATATTCTATTCCAAAACATATCATTTTGTATGGTTAAGCATTAAATGGCTTGGGTTTACTGTATAATAAATATAACAGTAAGACCATTTACAACAAATATAATTTCAAATTCATTTGAACATTGATTTATAATTAAATGATAACTTTGTTATCACACCAAAGATGGTCTCAATTATCGTTTTGTCATTTCTTTCCCTTTAATAGGGTTTATATTATAAACTTTTTAATAATGTTTGATTGATTAAGGAATTTGAATATTAATTATGAAGTGAGCCATTTAGTGGTATTCAAACTTCATATGCTTTGCTAAGGAATTCCATAATCTATCATATAAGC